TTTAACCCCCCGACCTCTTTTGTTCAACCTACACCCTTTCTTTCAACCCCCCGACCCTTTTTATTAACAGAACGGCAGGTCCTGAGAATGCAACTTTTTGCTATGTTTCATTTGTTCTTAGGCCTAGATTTTATTACAGAAATTGCACTCCCAGGGTGGCAGCAGGCAAGGCAAAGCAATATTTGGATCTAGAGTGGTACCAAAAACATTGCAAAAACAAGAAAAATCCATATTTTTAGATTCTTTGGAGGGGGTGGGTTCCCAGCCAAGATTCTTTGAATATTGTTTTTTTTGTTTTTGGTTTCTTTGTTTTTTTGTTTTCCCAAGGTTTTTTTGGTTTTTCCTGGAATGTTATTGGTTTTCTCAAGATATATTGTGTTTTGCTTTTCCTATTGAGGTCAATCTGTGTTCTTACTATTTCGTTCAACCTTCAAATATGTGAGCCTAAGTCTCACCTAAAGGCATATGTTCTTTGTTCTTATAATGAAAGCGTCTGAGCCCACCACTCCCTTTGTCCTTGTCGAAATCTCCATGTACAAGTCTGTGCATTAACTTCTAATTGGTATTAATGTGGTTGCCAATTGCATGTCCAATCAGTTTGACATGAAATTGTAATGGTACCTTTCAATTTACATGAAACTGTTATGAATCTGTGCAAGCTGTAGTTCTAGTTCAATGCTTGTTAGTTTTGCTTCGGCTTTGTAATTTCGAAGCTTCCTCGACTTGTGCATCTTGTAGCTCAAGCGTTTTACATCTTATTCTGGCGAACTTCTAATTTTAATTCCAATTCCTTCCAACTCTCATCTAACTTTAAATAGGTTATAGTTATATATAGTTCAATACAAATTTAATTAAAGTTCGGTTTTAATTCAGTTCTTAATTCTAATTCAAATCCAATTTAATTCTACCTAATTCTATTCTAGTTCTAATCTGTATAATTTAAGAAAACACATGCAACAAAAGCCCGTGTTTTACAATATTTTTTTGCCTTGGGAGTGCTGGGAACAAGACTAAAACTCTTTTTTGAAGTAAATAGCTAGATTTTGTTTTTTTACAGTAATCACTGGAAATAATATAGATATATTAAACTTGTTTTATGTACAAGCTTCTAATTTAAAAGCTTCCCTCTAGATCTCTGTGGGTGATTAAAATGTTCATTTCAAAAATTTTCCTCTGGATCTCTGGAAATGATTAAATTGATTAAATATGCAATATATCAATAAATATTGCATTCTTTCAAAATTTTTCATGTCATGAAAGCACACATATATGGGATGTTTATTTTCCCAAAGATCCAGAGGAAAATTTTGAAAATGCCAGCTCTTACAAATCTAGAATATAGCTTTTAACATACAAGGTTTCTATATAGTTGTTAAACACTAAAAATGATTATCTACAGAGATCTATAGAGAATCTTGTGTAACATAAACGCGTCTATATAAAAAATACCAAATCTAAACATAATTATAAGCAGAGATCTAGAGACACTTTTATGGCCTGCATCTTTCCTAATTATGTTGTTCATCAACACCGTCTGAGTGACTACTTGCTGCTTCTCAAAACAATAAAACGACCCTGATTCAGGAATATAGAAAGAGAGTAGGAACAGATTATATATATGTATTTATAGGGCCAGACTCAAAGGCAATTGGACACTATATAGATGTTGATAAGCCACAAAACTATACATATCAAATGACTTAATGGAATTCTAAAAAAAGCAAAAAAGTGCACTCTCATAGCCTGCCACTCTCTTCTTTTACCCCCAACCACTTTTTCCTAACCCCCAACCTCTCTTTTTAACCCCCAACCTTGCTTTTTTAACCCCCACCTTTCTTTTTAAACCCTAACCTCTTTTGGACACCCAGCCCTTCCTTTTTGAGAGCTGGAGGGGAGGTTGTTGAACACCTGTTCGGTCGCTAGGGGCAGTGTTTCGTTGGTTGCGCGGTCAACACGTGCGCAGGCGTTCGGGGGATTGTTGTTGTTGTTGTTGTTGTTCAATCCGTGCGCAAGCGCGCGGGGGAGTGTTTGCAAAAAAAGACAGCTGCCTCAGGGGGACTGTGCGGGCGTCAAGGGGAGTGTTTGAAAGGGGGGCTCGGGGGGTGTTAAACACCTGTTCGGGCGCCAGGGGCAGAGGGAGGGCGCAACGCCTCCCCACGAAGTCAAAGCAAAGGTGCTTGCTTCGCTCGTTGTCGTTGTCGTTGTCGTTGTCGTTGTCGTTGTCGTTGTCGTTGTTGTTGTTGTTGTTGTTGGATTTGTTGTTGCTGTTGATGTTGTTGTTGTTGTTGCTGGTTTCTCCGCCACGAGGATGCGCTGGCCTCGGTTGCTATGCAAGATCAATTTGTGATCTTTTTCACGAGGGGGGATCGTGGAGTGGTGCCTCTTCTCCTTCTGTCAGCCCGCCAATGGAAGGACTTTTCGCCCGAACAAGCCCAATGCCCACTTCGCATCTACCTCATCCAGGCCATCGTCGCCGAGCTCCATCAACGGTTCTGCAAGTTCAAGGTGCAGCTCGAGAACCAGAAGATCCGCATCCATGCAATAATTCAGACAAAGCTCATCACCGAGGACAATGCCTTTCCCTTTCATCGCTGGAACGGTGCCACCGATCTCAATGGTGGAAATGGAACGCTGTGTGAAGTTTCACCATTGGCAGCACCGAATTCGCAAGGGGAGGTGGTTCCATGGCGACTTCAAATCCCTCTCCGGAACGACGACCTGTTAGCGCACCTGAAGGGAATGACGCAATCTTCGATATGGATGTTCTTGGCCTCGAGGCTTAAAGTGCACGGCACCCAGAGATTCAGATCTCGGCCAGCCCAGGAGTTGCAGATGATGCATACGCCAGCCAAAAGACTGGTTGAGTCGATTTCGATTTGAGTGGTTGCCGCTGCTTCAGGAACTCATCCTGACCAACACTGGCAGCTGGTGTTACATCAATGCCAACTTTGTGAGCTTGCTATGGGCAACACTTCAGCGAGCCGCTTTCAGTTTGGGCGATTTGGGGGAATCACTTCGTCCGCTTCGGGGCTTCTTTTTGAACATTCAAAAGGACACTCCTGTTTCCTTGATTGAAGAAAAGGTGCGTCCCTTGTTGCGGGAAATTATGAACCGTCTTGGACCGCGAGACATTTGTGAGTTCACCACTGAGCTCACACAGTGGTTGAATCCAGAACTGATTTCCATGGCGTGGGAGCGACGTATCACCTCTTCGCAAGGAATGGAAATCTATGACTCCGGTACAGCACACCAGCCGATGGCACTGGTGTGGTTGAGCTGGATCGAAATAGATTGCACTTGAACGATTTGATTCAACCGTGGCACTTTAGTGCACGCTTGGCTGCTGCCGAGCGCTGTGTGGATTATGTATTGGCCCTGAGCGGCCCTTGCAGCGCTGCTGAAAGTGTTGCTGCACCTTGTCCACCGCCGCCGGCTGAGCAATTGCATCCTGACATGCCGTTGTATGATGACACTGAGGGCCGCAGACTGCACTGAGGGACCACCCGTAGTTTGAGCATGATTTGATTTTCATTTTCCTTGATCCATTTCTTTTGAGTTTGGCAACTTTTGATGGATTGATGGAATCCTTGTTGTGTGCCATATAGCTTCCCCAGAGCTCTGGTCGGATGACATATCCGATTTTGACCAGAGCGCTCCGCCAACATGATGACTCTCAAGAGTCCGGCAATTTCCATGCCGAAGACGGCGCCTTTCGTACTTCGAGCGCGAGTGAAAGAAAGAAAGAAATTGTTGTTATTGTTGTTGTTGCTGTTCAACACTTTCGCAGGCGTCAGGGGGAGTGTTTGAAAAAAAGAAAGCTGGAGGGGGGCTTGGGGGAGGGCGCAGCGCCTCCCCCCCCGAAGTCAAAGCAAAAGTACTTGTTTCGCTTGTTGTTGTTGGATTTGTTGTTGCTGTTGTTGTTTTGTCGTTGTTGTTGTTGAACATGCGCGCAAGCGTCAAGCGGAGTGTTTGAAAAAAGGCTAGAGGGGGGCTCGGGGGGGAGGGTGCAGCGCCTCCCCCGAATTCCAAGCAAAG